TGAAGAGGCCCGCCGAGGCAGGGGGGACCATGAGGAGGAGGACGAGGAGGAGGAGGAGGAGGAGGAGGAGGAGGAGGAGGAGGAGCAGGAGCAGGAGCAGGAGCAGGAGCAGGAGCAGGAGCAGGAGGAGGAGGAGGAGGAGAGAGGAGCAGGAACAGGAGGAGCAGGAGTAGGAGGAGGAGGAGGGAGGAGGAGGAGGAGGAGGAGGAGGGGAGGAGGAGGAGGAGGAGGAGGAGAGGAGGAGGAGGAGGAGGAGGAGGAGGAGGAGGAGGAGGGAAGAGGAGGAGAGGAGGAGCAGGAGGGCTGGGATGAGGCATGGTGGTGGTGGGGTGGTGGTGGTGGTGTGCAATGTCCGGGGAGGCCCGCCGGCGCGCCGGATGCCGCGGCCACGGCCCGTGCGCGCCGCGGCCGCCCCGCGGCCGCCCGAGGCCTCCGCGGGCGGCGCCGGCGGCGGCCGCGCGGGCGGTGCGCAGCCCGCGCCGCGGGCGGCGCGCAGCCCGCGGGCGCGCAGCCCACGCCGCGGGCAGGAGCAGCAGGAGAATTTCCGGGTCGGGAGGGGTCTACGCATGTCGGGGGCAAAAAAAGAGGGGGGTGGTGACTAGGGGGGGTGGATATCCTGGCGTCGGCCATGATTTCCCCTGATTTCATGGCGCCTCTTCTTGTTTCCTTACGTCCCTGGCCCCCCCTCTGGGCCGCGCGCATGCCGCTGGTCATGATTTGCACCTCTCCCTCTTGGACACCCCCCTCTTGGCCGCTCCCGACCATGGGCGCCACGAGTGAAGCAACTAGTAAAATGACTCGAGCAGTGGCGAAGCGTCCTGGCTCGCCTGTGGGCCTACGAAAGAGTGTTGTAAAAGAACCCCCATTTGTGGTTTCAAAGGGATGCTCTTAGCACTGTTCTGGCTGGGACTGTCTTGTTTTAACGCATCGGGTTTATGCTCTAAGAACAGTGTTTTTGTTATTGGAGCATTTCTGAGTTCGAAGAACATGTCGTGGCAGGCCTGTAGAAGTGCCGGAACGGACTGTCCCTGCTCACATGACTTAATGTGTTTTGTGCTTCCTACCGTTTGAGCTTAATGTTCAAGTGAGGAGTATTTGTTTTACTCATGTTTGTCATTGCGTGCATTTCTCATTCAAATGGGAGAACTGTTCGGGTTCAGAGGATCTAGGTCCCCCGAGATCCGCGCCGCGGGCAGGAGCATTCAGTAGCAAATCATTGGAGCCTGGTACACCCTCTTATTTCTGTCTTTGGCGTCGACTGGCGTCGATTCGCGTCCGCAGTCGATGAGATAGCGCCGATTTAGTGTCGGCTAGCGTCGATTTCGCGTCGATCGGCGTCGATTCAGCGTCGACTTGCGTCGATTCGCACGAGCCAGCAAGGTGGTACGGGAAGCTCCCATGAGTTGCCACAGAAGGAGGATCGAGGTCCCCTGAGGTCCTGGCGGCTCCAATCGAGCCGGGCGTTGACGCTCAATGTCGGGCCCTGGGACCCTCACAGACCGATCCGGCTCGAGGCATGATGCAAGAAGATGGGGTCCGGGGGTCCGGGGAGGAAAAGGCACCCCTACCGCTACTCTCGCCCCGTTGTTGCCCTTTTGGGGCCTCCTGGGAGGCCCCCATCGCCACCTTCGGATTCGCCTCGACATTCTGGTCAGAATGCACAGGGAGAGGTCCGGGGAGCAGTTAGCGGTATCGGTACCTTTTGGATTCTCTCCACGAATGAGAGTTTTCGAGTTGGGAGGGTCTAGGTCTCCCAGAGGGGGTCCGAATCGATGGGGTTGGAGGATGGCGCCGCATCGCCGATGCAGCCGAGGCCACGACCACGGTAAGCAGAGTCGTGGGGAGCCCATCCGCCTCTCATTCACCCCATCATTTAGAGGCCTCCCAGACGGGGTCCGAGTACACGGGGTCGGCGGATCGCGCCGCATTGCTGATGCAGTGCGATGCGGAACCCGAGTTCCTCCACGCCGACAGCTCCGATGCATCGCCGACGTCGCCGGTGCATCGCTGATGCATCGGCGATGCGGCGCGACCCTCCGACTCCATTTACTCCGATCCCATCTAGGAGGCCTCTAGAGGATGGGGTGAATGACAGGCGGATGGGCCCCCTACTCTGCTTACCGTGGGAGTGGCCTCGGCTGCTTAGCGCCCTGAGCCCTAAATGTTGCCACATGTCTCCGTGCACTGGAGAATCGACGGGCATCTTCCGCCCAGGGATACTGGGATATTGAAACCAGCACCTACTGGGTTGAGAGGATGGGGTTGAGAGAAGTGTTGGGATCATTCGTATTATCTCGTACGGTCGAAGCCGATAATAGCGATGGGCAGCCTTCCAAAGGGTACCCTTGCATCCTTGCCTCCTTGGTCCCCACCCTTGAAACCCCTTTCGATTGCCAGCCCCGCTCCAAAACTGTGAGCATGGCCTTCCCAGGCCCTTGCATCTTTATCGTGCGTCCTCTCTATGAGTTTTGACTGTACCTCGGATGTTGAAGTGGCTCGTGTCTTCCCACCCCCTTCCTCCCAAGACGAGAGAGTCTGACCGAGGAAAGAGGTCGAGGTCAGCTCGAGGAGTGGGCCCGAATGTTCTCCGTGCTTGCCGCGCGTTCTTGTGACTTCTGGGGGTGGTACCCTTGGATGTTCTGTGTGTTTTTGGCTGGCAGAGGGTGCCATGTTTTTGGAGGATGCCTTTTTGTCCCAGGTCCAACGTGTCAGTGTCCTTCTCTCAGCGCCACGAGCAGCGATGTCCCAGGTCCCGAGGTCCTGAGGTCCTGAGCCCCATGTCGCCAGGGTGGGCTATACCTGTCCAGGTGGGCCATCTGTCCCAGGTCCTGAGTTCATGGCCTCCCAGATGGGGTCGGAGCAGATGGGACCGGAGTAGACTGGCGGCGCGGCGCGGTCCTTCGACCCCATCTGCCCCGACCCCATCTAGGAGGCCTCTACAAACATATAGTGGAGACCCATGCCAAGAAACACCCTGCTTGCCTCCATGGTGTCCCGGGTTTCTTGGGTTTCGATGGTTCTGCGAGGGAAGGCGTGACGTTCCCGCACCAAAGGGCAAGGGACGTCCTGGGATCTCAGGGTTGGGTTCTTTGTGGCAGGTTTCTTGTGCACTGGCCTCCACGGTAAACTTCTGGCCTTCCGCGAGGGTTTTCTTGGATCCGCGCCGCGAGCAGGAGCTCCCCGCGGGCGCGCCCCCCGCGGCGGCGGCCCCCGCCGCGGAGGCGGGCGCCGCCGCGGCGGCGCCCGGCGGGGCGCCGCGCGGCGCCGGCGGGGAGGCGGAGGAGGAGTTCTTCTCGGGGCCCCCCTCAAGCGGGGAGGTTGGCTCGATGGGGCAAAGCTCGAAGGGGCCAACAAGCCACAGACGTGAACCTGTGGCGCTCCGCGCGGGTTTCTTGGATCCGCGCCAGGCCCACTGGCGGCGCCTCCAGCGCCGCCCCTGGCGCGCTCCGCGCGCCAGGGAGGGGAGTCCAGCGCAGATCCCAGAAATCCGCGCGGAGCGCCAAAAGCTTACGTTTGCGTCGTTTTTCTTCTTCTAAAACCATTCGGCTGGCGAGTCTGGGGTGGAAGTGATAAGGAGAAGGCCTCCTCAGAAGGCTCGGACGTCCCCAGGCTTTCTCTGAGAAGTTCAGGAGGGGAACAAAAACACACAGACACAATGAATCGTCGACTCCCCAGAAAATGTGGAAAAATAGGGGAAGTGGGGGGAAGACGAACATCCAAAAAACATGAGAATCTTGGAATCTTGGGATTTGTGTGTATTACACACATATATATGTGTGTGTGTCCCTGGGCCCCCTCAGAAGTGTTCAGAGCCTTCGACGCAGAAAACTTCTCAGAAGGCCGGAGGCCCTCCGAGGAGTCATGCCTCCTCCTGAGCGACGGCCCTCTCCTTCTCGCGCTCCCCCCCTCGCTCGCCGCCGAGCAGACATGGCATGAGCACAACCTTTCGTCGGTATCGGTTCACCGATCCCCATCCCCATCTCCATCCCCTTCGAGACCCCCACCAAATTACCACCCCAGTTTGGGATACACCCTTCGAAACCCGAAGATAACGGCCTGTATCCCCATCTGGGGGGGTAAATCGGCCAGTGGGGCCCCGGCCACGCCGCTGGCGATGGGGATCGGTCAAACGATTCTCATTTCGGAGGTCCGCGCGGATGTTTCGGATCTGTGCTGGGCCCCCCTGGCGGCGCCTCCGGCGCCGCCCCTGGCGCGCTCCGCGCGCCAGGGAGGGGTGTCCAGCGCCAATCCAAGAAATCAGCGCGGGGTCCCGAAGTGTGTGTTGATCCATTTTCTAGAACGCTGGCACGCCGGAGTGGACTGCATGTTTATCCGAGCTTCTAGCCGTGGGACGAAGCTTTTCCCGTTCTTGACGCCCTCCAGGTGAACTCTTTCCAAAGCTCAAGAAGAACAAAAACACACAGACACCATGAACCGTCGATGCCACGGAAAGATGGAACATACGGGAAGTGGATGGGGCAAACGCACATCGAGTTACTATGGGAAAATATGGGGGCCCTGGGATTGTTGTGCCTGTTCATTTGTGTGTCCCTGGGTCCCTTCAATGCGAGCACGATTTATACCCACATCCACTTCGTCTTGGACTTTCTGGGAAGGGGCACCAACAGGACGCGGCGCAGTGGATGTGGATAAACATCTGACCTCTATAGGGGCGACGCTCCATATCCACTGCGCCTCTGGTATCGGAGGGTAAGGGATCCCGATGCTCCAAGACGCAGTGGATGTGGATAACACCCTCGCCCGCATTCAAGAGGCCCTGGCTCCCAGAGATCCGATGTCGTGATTTTTCAGGTCGCGGTCCCCAGAAGTCTCGACCACTTCCCCAAGACCGGGTCCTCACCCCGAGTCGTTCTCTGACGGCCCCGCGGGCCCGGCCAGGGCCCCTGGAGGCCGAAAGCCGCGAACAACCTCCGCCTCGATCCTTGCCAATGCCTTGGATCTCTGGGCTCGCATAGTCCCGGCCTGGGGGGCCCCGCTCGTCTCCTGCGACGAGGCCAGCCTCGCCGACGCTGTGACCCCCCGCCGCCCAAGCCGCCGCCTCGACGGCGCGCCGGGCCCCGCGCCACGGGGGTGCCCCGAGGAGGCGCCCCAGGCGCCGGAGCTCCGGCGGCAGGGCGCGCAGGATCGGCTGGCGCGGGCCCCGCGGGTCCCAGGTCCAATGTGTCGGCGTCCTTCTTTCAGCGCCACGAGCAGCGATGTCCCAGGTCCCGAGGTCCTGAGGTCCTGAGCCCCAGGTCGCCAGGGTGGGCTATACCTGGCCAGGTGGGCCATCTGTCCCAGGTCCTGAGTTCTAGGCCTCCCAGATGGGGTCGGAGCAGATGGGACCGGAGTAGACTGGCGGCGCGGCGCGATCCTTCGACCCCATCTGCCCCGACCCCATCCAGGAGGCCTCTACAAACATACAGCGGAGACCCATCCCCAGAAACACCCTGCTTTCCTCCAGTGTGCCCTGGGCTTCTTGGGCTTGGCGGTTCTGCGAGGGAAGGCGTGACGTTCCCGCACCAAAGCTCAAGGGACGTCCTGGGATCTCAGGGTTGGGTTTCTTGTGGAGGGTTTCCTGTGGACTGGCCTCCGCTGTAAACTTCTGGCGCTCCGCGAGGGCTTCTTGGATCCGCGCTGGGCCCCCCTGGAGGCGCCTCCAGCGCCGCCGCGCGCCAGGGAGGGGGGTCCAGCGCAGAGCCAAGAAATCCGCGCGGAGCGCCACACATTTATGCTTATGGCGCTTATCATTCTTCTAGGATCGGCTGGCGCGGGCCCCGCGGGCCAGGGCCCCGCCGGCCAACAAGAACAGGATCTCGGAGGCGGAAAGGGTACCCATACCGCTAAGTCGGGCGTGTCCCTCTACATGAGGAGTATCCAAGAGTAGTCAAACAAGGTTAAGGAGGCGATGTTCCGCCTATTTCTGGTTTATTTCTGATTATTTTTGTTAGGCTATTTCTTATTTTCCTTTCCGAATCCACCAGTAGGAGGACTTGCCTGACCTAACCATACCGCTACTCTTCGCCCGTTCTCCTTGTTCTTGTCCTCCTAGGAGGCCATCGCTGCCACCGTTGGATTCGCCTCGAAATCCGGGTCAGATCGCACCCCGGGAGAGGTCCGGGGAGTAGCGGTATCGGTACCTTCCCAGACCCTTGGTGTCATGATGTTTAATAACGTCGACCCTCAGAGGTCTCGACCCATTCCTCTCGACCGGTTTTTTATCCTGAGTCGTTTTTTGATGCTCCCGAGGCCTGGCAAGGGCCCCCGGAGGCCGAACATAGCGAGAAACCTCCCGTCATTATTTTATCATTACCCGAGGGGGTCTTGGCTTTGGTCTCCCCGAGGATCTCGCACTACCGCTGGCTGGAGGGGCTGCTGCGGTCGATCGCCGGCGGCACGGGGGCCGAGTTCGCCCGCGAAGGCGGCGCGGGGCAGGGCGCAGGTGTGCCCCTCTTCGTGGTTGCGGGCGCGTGCCCCAACAGCATGTGCGGCATATGATGGGCAAGTTTTCTACCACCACCACCATAGGTAGTTCGGGGGAGAAGGGATGATGGGGAGGTTCTCCTCTTCCTCCTCTTCCTCCTTCTCTTCCCTCTCCTGCCTATGGTAGTGGTGGTGGAAAATCGGCCCATCAGCGTAAGCACGGGCATGCAAGCCGTCCTGTTCAGCCAGCTTCCGGGCGGCGGCGTGGACTTCTGGTGGGTCAAGCCGCGCAAGGACGAGGCGGGGCAGCTCGAGCCCATGTTCCTGGCCCTCCACAGGAGGGGCTCGTTCAAGAACGACCCCGGGAGGAGCAGGCCGATCTACGCCCCGCTGGCGGAAAAGTTCTCCAGGGGAGCGGATGGGGATTTTGTCTTTGGCGTCGACGGCTCTGGGCGAGCATTCATCGAAGAGAGTCGGGAAGGGAATGCGCGAGAGCGCATGCTGCTGTACCTGGTCTGGCAGGAGGCGTGGAGCGGGGTCTTCTCCTCTGAGAAGTTCATCCGTGGCAAAATCCTTTACCAGAAAGGCGCCCCAGGTGGTCTTCAGGAGCCGGGTTCCAACTCTTCTCTCTTCTTCGCGCGCGAGTATGAGATCAGGGACGGGCAGCTTACCTTGTCGGCGGTGGGCGACGAGGAGATCCTTCCGGCATTGTTGCCGCCAGATTCTTTCCAGGGCATGTGCACGGAGTTCGGTTGAACGGCCTCGGCTGGTGCGCGCGAACACCGTACAGGTTCTGCGCGCCCGCCGGCGGACCACCGGGCTTCCATGATGGTGGTCTGACTGTCCTCCTCGCGGGGTCCGGAGACTCCTCCGTTCCAGAGCATCTTGGAATATTTGTGTTCACCTGTAGGGTGCGGAACACTTTGGAAGTTAACACCAGAATCACGGTCGCTGCCATTAGGCACATAAGTTTGCCGATTGACGCAGTGACCTTTAATTCACGAACCCGAGGCTGTGATGGTCGCAATGAATATCCTGTTGTCTGCCTCTCCTCAGGAGCAGGATTGGTTGCTTGCCAGGTTAAAAGAACAGTGCAAAGACTCGTGATCGTCGCTTCAGGGATGGGGCGCGCGCAATCCGAGCAAGTGAACGTGCGCTCCAGTCGGGCGTTGGTGGCGACGGCCCTGACGCTGATAATGTCGAAGCCAAAATCTTGACGACGTTGGTGATTGTCGTGCTTGGGGCAACCATATCGAGACGGGCAGGAATGACTGGTACATGCAAAAGCACGCGGATGAGTGTGACTGACGAGGCTGACGGCGAAATACGACGAGAGCCATGGCGATGACGGCCAGACATGCCGGTGACGACGGCCAGCGTCTGCATGCAGCAGAGGTAGCTTATGGAGTGCTGAGCGTCGCGTGTGTGGGCTGGGAGGATTCTGAGTTCTGGGATGGGATCTTCAATCAGGAAGGTGGAGAGGAGTCAGGGAGCTCGGCCTGGCCGATGCCATGCGTCACCACAGAACGCTCGCCCAGACTTTGCGGCCAGCTCTGAACTGAACGCGTTCTCGAAACTTGGTTTGGGTCGGAGGGTAGGCAGAGTAACTGTGCTGGCGCAAGAGCGGACTCCGTACTCGAAACACACATACACACAGCTCGCAGAGCGGGAGTCCTGGCGGGCCCCCCGTGGGGAAGCTGGCACGCAAGCTGGGATGCACACGTCGATGTCTCCAGTGCTGTGCTGCCAGCTCTGCCACCGTGCCCAGCTTGTGAGTGTCAGTCCCCGGGGGGGGGGATAACTACAGCCTACCAGTGACACACGCACGTCGTCTTTCAGACCGTGCGCCCTGCGAGTTGACGCTTCGTGCGCGCACCTGGCACTTCGTCCACAGTGACGCGCCGATGTGTCCGTCTGGCCTGCGTCGAAGAAGACACGCCATAAACATAAACTTGTGGCGCTCCCCGCGGGTTTCTTGGATCTGCGATTAGCCCCCCTGGCGGCGCCTCCAGCGCCGCCCCTGGCTCGCTCCGCGCGCCAGGGAGGGGGTTTCAGTGCAGATCCAAGAAATCCGCGCGGAGCGCCAGAGGTTTATGTTTATGCCGTTTTCCTTTCTTCTGCATTGATTCTGCGCTTGCCACCCCGTTCCAATGACTCAGGGATGAAGGGTTCGGCCCACGACCTGGGACCGACATTTTAGGAACATTGGGCCCTGCAGCAGTGTTCCGCTGCTTCCCCGGGCGCGGTGCAGTGATTCTCCTCCGTCTCCTCCTTCCCCATTGTCCCTTCTCCTCGTCCGCAGCCCTTCTGGCCCGAGCCGTCCTAACTCGAGCAAGCGCCTCGGAAACTTCGGCCCGCCGAGGGCCGAGCAAGCTCTGCCCAGACAGCACAAGCCGCAACACCTGTATGAGATCCCGTGCCGCACAGACCTGGCCCCGGGCGCACCGAGGCTCGCACACCAGGTTATGATACCCCTCGAGCTCTGCAGGCGCGGCGTGGCGTGCACTCGAACGCCGCAACCGGCCCCAAGGTGCCCCCGAGCACGCGCGGCAGAAGCCGGGCTCGGAGTATCCCGAGCGGAAGATGGACCGAGCAGAGATCAGGGTTCGATGGCGTCTCGAACGCGTTGGGATTTCGGGGGGGGGGAGGCATCCACATGTTCAAGCAGTGGCGAAGCGTCCTGGCTCGCGTCATGGTTTTTGTTTTCAACGATATGTTCTTAGAACATTTCTGGCTGGGACTGTCTTGTTGTATCACATTGGTTCATGTTCTAAGAACATTGTTTTGTTATTAGAACATTTTGGGGTTCTAAGAACATGTCGTGGTAGGCCTATAGGAATGCTGGGACGGTCGGTCCCTGCTCAACATGTGAAGCCTGCCTGTCGATTCGTACCAGCAGGGGCCCAGCGGCGTGGGCTCAGAAGCTGGGAGGGGGGGGGGGGCACGAGCGACGTGCCCCCCCCCTCCACCGCCCACCAATGAGCCCCTGCTGGTTCGGCAATGGATGGGCAGTATGGGCAGGGTTCGTATGCTCGGGTGTCGCCAGAAGTGCCCCTGGCCCCAGGTGCCCCTAGGATTCTCTGGGTGACCCAGACCGCCTCCAGGGCACCCCTAGCGAGGCCCAGAGGGCCCCAGGGGCTCCAAAATGGAGCGAAACGCTGGGGGCACATTTGGGCCAGGGGCTGCTCCTGCTCTGCCCTCGAGGTTGGCACCGACACCAACACTGGCACCTGCGGTCGATGGTGGTGCGGTCTCGGACCGAGGCATAACATCAAGGTCGGTTCGGGGAGGGTGCCCTCATGTTCTTCGCGTGTGTTGGATGTTCTTGTGCGTCCTGTGGGAGGGTACCGTCGAATGTTCTCCAGCTTGGCCAGCGGAGGGGCTCATGTTCTTGAGGGATGTTATTGTGACCCGGGTCCGATTGTAAGACTCGGGCTCCCGAGGTGGTCGAGGAGATCACCACCAGCGCCAGAATCCAGGATCATCTCAGCTGGGTGGGGGCCCCTCGTGCGGTTCTCTTGGGAGTGCTAAGGGGCATCTTGCCTCGGGCAGAAGAGGAGGGGCTGCCGCAGCTCGGACTTCTGCCCCACTGGGGGGACGAACAGGTGCCGATGCCGCTGCTCCCCAGACCTCTCCCGGGGCGCGTCCAGGCCAGGACTTTGAGGAGGCGAGTCCAGCCGTAGCCACGAGGGCTCTCCAGGACGGGCAGCGGCACCGGTACTTCGCGAAAGTGCGCCAGTGGATCTCCCTGAATACACAAAAGGGGGGGGGTGCAGAACCCCCCCCCCCCCCCCCCCCCCTTCAAAGGGCGAGCCCCCCCCTCCCCCCCTCCCCTTGAAGGGGGGGGGGGCTGGACCCCTTCCCCCCTTCCCCCCTTTGGCGCTGGAAAGGGGGGCGGGGGTTCGGACCCCCCCCCCCTCCCCCCGTTTGCGCCGGAAAGGGGGCCGGGGAGGGGGGGCCTCTCTCGCTCCTCCTTTCTCCGCCGGAGAGGTGTGTAGGGAATACGGAGTTGGGAGTAGGGAGTGGTGAGTAGTGAATAGTGCGTTAGTGCGTAGTGAGTAGTGAATATTGGGTAGTGTAGTGAGTGGCGAGTAGGGAGTAGGGAGTAGAGACTGGGGAGTAGTGAGTTGTGAATAGTGAGTAGTGTGTACTGATAAGTGAGTAGTGAGTGGCGAGTAGTGAGTAGTGAGTAGTGAGTAGTGAGTAGCGAGTAGAAAGTACTGAAGCGGGAGTTGGGAGTAATGAGTAGTGGGTAGTGAGTAGTGGGTAGTGAGTAGTGGGTGGCGAGTCGTGATGAGTGAGTAGTGAGTAGTGAGTAGTGGGTAGTGCGTAGTGCGTGGTGAGTAGTGAGTAGTGAGTAGTGCGTAGTGAGTAGTGAGTAGCGAGTAGTGAGTTGTGAGTAGTGAGTACTGAGTAGTGAGTACTGAGTAGTACGTAGTGCGTAGTGAGTAGTGAGTAGCGAGTAGTGGTAAATAGGGAGTAGTGGTTACTGGCAGTGGGTAGTGAGTAGTGAGTAGCGAATGGGGAATAGCGAGTAGTGAGTAGTGAGGAGCGAGTAGGGCGTAGTGAGTGATGAGTAGCGAGTAGAGAGTAGTCAGTAGTGGGTAGTGGGTAGTGATTAGTGAGTAACGAGTAGGGAGTAGCGAGTAGTGAGTAGTGAACAGTGAGTAGGGAGTAGGGAGTAGGGAGTAGGGAGTAGTGAGCAGTAAGTATTGAGAAGTGGGTAGCGAATAGTGCGTTGCGAGTAGCGATTAGTGAGTATTGGGTAGTGAGTAGTGACTAGTGAAGTGACTAGTGACTAGTGAGGTGTGACTAGTGACTAGAGACTATGTAGCGACTAGCGCGTAGGGACTAGTGAGTAGTTAGTAGCGGGGAGTGAGTAGTGAGTAGTGAGTAGCGAGTATGGGAGTAGCGAGTAGTGAGTACGACTACCTGTGTAAACAGTATTGTGTAGGGAGTAGGGAGTAGCGAGTAGCGGGTAGTGGGTAGTGAGTGCTGATTTGTGGGCAATGAGTAGTGAGTAGTGAATAGTGGATAGTTGGTTGTGGTTAGTGATTAGTGAGTAGTGAGTAGGGAGTAGTGAGTAGTGCTTAGTGCGAAGTGAGTATTGAGTAGTGGGCAGTGAGGAGTGAGTAGTGAGTGGTGAGTAGGGAGGAGGGAGTAGTGAGCAGGACGTAGTGAGTAGCGAGTAGTGGGTGGTGGGTAGTGAGTAATGGACAGTGAGTAGTGAGTCGTGAGTAGTGAGTCGGGGGTAGTGAAAAGTGAGCAGCGAATAGCGAGTTGTCAGTAGTGGGTAGTGAATAATGAGTAGTGAGTACTCTTTGGGGCTGGGGTTAGTGGTTGGGGTGAGGACTAAGGGTACGGGTGGCGGAGGGTGGGTTCCAGAGTTGGGCGGCGGCGTGGCGAAAGGGGGGGGTGCGGCCAAAGGGGGGAGGGGGGGGGGGGGTCGGACCCCTCACCCTTTTTGAAAGGGGGGGAAGGGGGGGGGGTCTCCGACGACGGATCGAGGAAGGGGGGGGGGGTCCCCGACGACGGATCGGGGAAGGGGGGGAGGGGGGGGGGGCTTCCCCGACGACGGATCGAGGAAGGGGGGGGGGATGCAACCCCCCCCCCTTGGGGTTATCCAGCGGCGCACCCTCGTACTGTGCCCCCTTCCCCCGGGGGGACCTCTCCCCCTTTCCCCCCCCCCCCCTTTTCCACCTACCCCCTCTCACCCGCCCCTGCCCCCCCCCCTCCTCCCCCCCCCCTCCTCCCCCTCCCCTGCTTAAGGGTGTTTTTTTAAGACTATGTGACGTGATGTGTCTTCGGTGCATGCGTAGATCAGTTTTCCCCACATCCTGAGTGGGGTTCTTGTTTTCCCAGAACACCCTCTCCTTCCCACCCACCTCCCGTTCCATCTTCCATACAGCACAATATTATTCCTACCGCACACACCATACCATACCATAGTTCCTACCACACATACCATACCATACCATACCATACCATACCATACCACACCATACGTACCATACCGTACCATACCATACCATGGCGTACCATAGCATACCATACCATATCACACCAATGCCACACCGTACCATACCATACCATACCTCCAGTACCATACCATACCATATCATACCATACCGTACCATACCATACCTACCATACCATTCCATACCACTCCATACCGAAAACCATACTATTTACATGGTTTCGTGCCCCTCCCACCCCTCCAGGGGGCCCCGCCTGAGCGAGGAGGGTATCGGAATACCATACTATTTACATGGTTTCGTGCCCCTCCCACCCCTCCAGGGAGGCCCCGCCTGAGCGAGGAGGGTATCGGAAACCATACTATTTACATGGTTTCGTGCCCCTCCCACCCCTCCAGGGAGGCCCCGCCTGAGCGAGGAGGGTATCCGAAACCATACTATTTACATGGTTTCGTGCCCCTCCCACCCCTCCAGGGAGGCCCCGCCTGAGCGAGGAGGGTATCGGAATACCATACTATTTACATGGTTTCGTGCCCCTCCCACCCCTCCAGGGAGGCCCCGCCTGAGCGAGGAGGGTATCGGAATACCATACTATTTACATGGTTTCGTGCCCCTCCCACCCCTCCAGGGAGGCCCCGCCTGAGCGAGGAGGGTATCGGAATACCATACTATTTACATGGTTTCGTGCCCCTCCCACCCCTCCAGGGAAGCCCCGCCTGAGCGAGGAGGGTATCGGAAACCATACTATTTACATGGTTTCGTGCCCCTCCCACCCCTCCAGGGAGGCCCCGCCTGAGCGAGGAGGGTATCGGAAAACCATACTATTTACATGGTGTCGTGCCCCTCCCACCCTCCAGGGAGGCCCCGCCTGAGCGAGGAGGGTATCCGAAAACCATACTATTTACATGGTTTCGTGCCCCTCCCACCCCTCCAGGGAGGCCCCGCCTGAGCGAGGAGGGTATCGGAATACCATACTATTTACATGGTTTCGTGCCCCTCCCACCCCTCCAGGGAGGCCCCGCCTGAGCGAGGAGGGTATCCGAAAACCATACTATTTACATGGTTTCGTGCCCCTCCCACCCCTCCAGGGAGGCCCCGCCTGAGCGAGGAGGGTATCGGAAAACCATACTATTTACATGGTTTCGTGCCCCTCCCACCCTCCATACTGAGGAGGGTATCATGGTTTCGTGCCCCTCCCACCCCTCCAGGAGGCCCCGCTCTGAGCGAGGAGGGTATCGGAAAAACCATACTATTTACATGGTTTCGTGCCCTCTCCCCCGCCTGAGCCAGGGAAACCATATTATTTACATGGTTTCGTGCCCCTCCCACCCTCCAGGGAGGCCCCGCCTGAGCGAGGAGGGTATCGGAAAACCAACTATTTACATGGTTTCGTGCCCCTCCCACCCCTCCAGGGGGGGCCCGCCTGAGCGAGGAGGGTATCGGAAAACCATACTATTTACATGGTTTCGTGCCCCTCCCACCCTTCCAGGGGAGCCCCGCCTGAGCGAGGAGGGTATCCGAAAACCATAATATTTACATGGTTTCGTGACCCTCCCACGCCTCCAGGGAGGCCCCGCCTGAGCGAGGAGGGTATCCGAAAACCATACTATTTACATGGTTTCGTGCCCC